ACTTTTATTCTTCCTAACAGGACGAGAAATACTTCATCAGTCCACACTTTTTCGAAATGTGGTATTTAAACTTCCAATTGCAAGATATTTTGATTAAAATAGCTAATCTTGCGAAAAAGTACATTTTTATGAGTACTGTTATTACGTGGGGCTAAACAGACTCACCAGGATGGCGCAAGAGTGCTTTTAGAGGCGTCCAACAGGGTTCCAACGTATGACCGACCTCGCCACTGTGTATTTACAATAAGCATACCTAGAGAAGAAGGAAAAAGAAAAGAACAGTCACAAGGAGACAAATGGGTAGACAGATGCACTCCGATGAAGCATCCTTGCTCTACAATAATTGGTTAGAGTAAGCTATCAGAATGGCTCAATATGGCGAAATAAGCGCGTTACGGATTAGTTGAAATAGAAGCCATTTATAGAAGCTGACATCGTGAAAGCTCCAGACAACATGAAGACGATTTGAGGAGTTTAAGAACTCTTTTCAATCCGAGCCAAAACTGTGGACATATGATCTGGGATGAAATCTAGCCAGGGACCAAAGGATAGAGAGTAACGTGAAAACAGCCTCGGAGCAAGCTTTTGGGATCACCTAACCGACAAAGTCAAGTCTCGTCGATACCAAGGTTACGGAGGGTCGACAACACAACACGGAGTCCCGCATCACAATGCCGATGGTGGTGTAATGGCAACCCGCATCCACTTATCCGGCAGATGAGCCAGGCAGGAGACGAGCGGGCCGAAGAACTGAACTCACGGATGGGACATCGAGTCGGGACCTCACAAGACACTCGGGTCATGTCGGATCCGGGCTCTGAGCGCTTCGCGCAGGCCTGAGATGGGGGCAGATGCGCGCCTCTCGGTGCTATCAAAAATCACCAGGCCAGTAGAATGTGTGTGTGTGTGTCAGGAAAAGACAGAGGTTCGTCGTCCGAAATGAGGACGGGAGCTGTTATGTCCCCCCTCAGACAGCATACCACTTGGGCCTGGCCAATGACCCTAAAAACGCTGTGATCTGCCCGATCAGGTTGGCCTAAAAGACGATGACGGTGGCTTGAAGAACCGGTGCATACAATGAAAAAGGCCATTCGACACCCTTCTGGGAACGAATTAAACCCAACAAACCCAAAAAACACAATAAACCCATTCGATCCACAAGCTGTTTTAACCGACAGCGGTACTAATGGAGTTACTACTAATGTCGATGGAAGACAATAATGATCTGGGCGCAAAGCTCACCGGAACCAAGCTGCGTTAAATTTTACAAAAGATATTCTTACCCCCCCCCCC